TAAGTAATACATTAGTGTAATCACGTACTCTCACGATTATCCGTTATTAGGTATTAAACAAAGAGTACTTTTATATATCTGGTATTAAAATGTGGAATTATTAGATGTCTAATAAAGACATTTTTGAGACAAGGCCATCACTTCGGAATAAAATACATTATTATTTTGATAATCTTATCCTTTAACCGAGCAATTCTTGTATGTATATATATATATATATATATCGGAATCTCGGAAACGGCTCCAGCGATTTTCATGAAATTTAGTATGTGCGTAGATTCGGGGGCGAAAAATCGATCTAGCTAGGTTTCATTTTTAGAAAATGTCCTTTTATCCCTTTTTTCAGGGAATGAAAATTATAATTCGAATATGACGGTAAATTTCGCCTCAAGAGAAAATGTCATGATAGCTCAGTCGGTAATCGGGCGGCCCCAAAACAGACGGCTGTGGTTCGCGTCACGATCATTTACACTTTTTTTTTTTTTTTTTTTTACTTTTTTTTTCGATTCCAGATCATTGCTTTCTTTGTTTTTAATTTTTTGTCGATTTGTTATTTTGTTATTTTTTTCCTTTTTTTTTAAAGTTCTTTCTTTTGAAAAACATCAGTTCATATTTTCTTATTATTACGTCGGTAAGATCGAAAAATATTATGCATATTTCATTACTCAGTAATTTGTATCTAAATGTAATTTCCAAAATACAAGATTTACCAAAAAAAAACAAACCGAGCACAGCTCGGTCCTCCGGGTACTGTCGTTTAAACAAGGTAGTTTTTATACCTGTGAGGTTTTAAATTTTATTTATTTCGAACACTATTTTTAGCTAAATCCATCTTTTAAAGTTCATAAATTGACCAACTATGTATTTATTAAATACGTAATGCATAACTAAAAAATAAAATATACAAGGGTACACTGGGTTAGTTTCTGAGTAAGGAAACGTGGTTAGCAAGAAATCTATAAAGGATAATAGGCAAAGACAAAATGGTTCTCTACCTTTTTCTGCTCTGTTTCTTCACTCTTTTTATTTGTTTTTTAATAATAATAATAAAATATCTTTATTCACATAGACACTTGCGCGTTCTTATAAAACGTCGCAATTTTACAAGGAAATTAATACGTTCGTAAGTTACCACCGGAGTAGTAGAGTTCGGAAAGCAGTTTCTGTTGAGAAGAAACCGGCAAAAAACTCAACAGTTGCTCTTTTTTAAACGGTCAGTTTACAATATAATGGTACAGGTATAATAGTCTTGTTTTCGCCTACGTGAGTATCAACAGTATTGGCGTACTGCACACATTGACGACGTCAAAATATTTAGCAATAGTATAATATGCTTTAGCCATAAGTTTACTTTTAATTTTTCGTTTAAATTCATCAAGTAGCAGACTTAATATAATCTTTGTGATTTTATTATAAATACATGCGCACACTTTGCCCCATGAACGAACTGTTTACTTTTTGTAGACGAAACAATGGCGTAGTTAGTTTGTTCTTATTTCTAGCATTTAGTTTATGTCTGTCACTATTCTTTAGATAATTATTAATATTATGTTTAACATACAAAATATTACAATAAATATATTGAAACGCAACAGTGAGTATATTAATCTCTTTAAAAAGATCTCTGAGTGTATTCCGGGTTCCGATGTTATAAATTGCTCGGACAGCTCTTTTTTGAAGAATAAATATAGAATTTATATCAGATGCACTACCCTCAACAAAATGCCGAACGACAAGATGCTGTAAAAATAACTGAAGTAGGTAAACAAGTCTGGCAGTGTCGATGTTTGATAGCTGCCTAACCTTCCTAATTGCAAAAATAGCGGAGCTTAACCATTCGCGAGAGATGATAGATAGGGACTCCATTGGAGCTTTGAATCTACTGTAATTCCCAAGAATACAGACAAGACTCAACAGGATTAAGGGTTAAGCTATTTAATGTTAAGCTAAAACTTTGCCTTTTTACGCTGGGAAGGGTAAAAGAAGGCATTTAGTTTTCTTAGCATTTAACACCATATGTATATGGTAAACCAGTATACGCGAAAGAGTTCATGTCGTAGTAAGTAGTAGTCGATACGTTCGAAAAGTCAACAAACAGTACAACATTACATAACTCACTGGCATAAAACAGGAGATCATTTTTACACACTAAGAATAATAATGGGCCCGTGGAACAACCATTTTCGTGGCGAACTCTGCAGAATTTACATCATTTATAGAAACATATATTTTTGAATTCAATTACTAAGGTAAGAGGCAATGAGATTGAAGGCAATGTCACGAATGCCATAATAATTTAGCTTTTGAAGGAGGGTTTTGTGATCTACGCAGTCAAAAGCTTTTGAAAGGTCGCAAAAAACACCTATTGCATCTTGTGACCTTTCTCAGGCGTTATAAATAAGTTTGACAAAACGACGAAAATATGCCATATTTTACAAATCGCTCTTATGAGGATAATGGATTAATAAACAATAATGGTAGGAAAAAAAGGAAAAATAAAAATTGATGTCTTATATTTTCGTCGTTGAATTTCGACTTCATTGCAAACACTACGAGTGTGTAGGTACTTTCTATTCACATCAACACAATGAAAAATATGTCAATTCATACAAAAAAAATTAATTTCTTGACATCTATTTTAAACAAAAAGAACCACATGCTTATAAATATATCATCTTTTCAAGTAATTTACAAATACCTCGATAGATGGTACCACATGTTTAGTTTCATCTTATTAGTCTTAGATGGCGCTGCAAGTATAAGTAATGAAATGACAAAAGTAGATGATATGAACACAACCAGTAAACAACCCAGTCCGCTCAACCAATTTGTTGGTTTTATACTATTTAAATAATTATTGGTGCTTCAATACTGTACACCACTTACAACACAAACAAAAAAAAGTTTATTCATGTGAAATGTTACGTACACCGAATGTTATTATATTTTTATTTTCTGACATGGTGACGTCTTATTCACTATCATTAAATGACGTAATCAAATTAAATCTTAAAATAAACGGTGATCAAACCTATGACCGTTTTGCGTCGCCTACGCCATACTAATGTAAAAGGTACTTAATTATACTTAGAAAAAGATAAGTTAAGGATTTAATGACTATCATTATTAATTTGTTAGCCAAATCGTACCTAATACTAATATTAAATTATCTGCCATACATACCTAATATTTAAACGTATTTATTTGATTGACTTTTATATAATTTTTATTACTGAAAAAACTCCTACACCCGTGCTGCAGTTATTGCCGAGTAAGTTATAAAGATGACTTCATACTACTAATAAAAAAAATTATTTGCACAAATACTGTTAAAAATCTGTTTATGATTCATGAATTGAACATGTACCACAAAGGTCAAACGTCGGCACAGTTTTATCCATCAGTTCCATAATTCCATTAGACCTACGTCACCTTTTAATTGGACCTTAGTCCTAACCTTAATCAATGACCTCTTATGTCTAAATGAACTGATACCTACTCAAATGTAAATAATAATATTATTTTGTTTGTCGTCTGATATATGAAGTCATTAGCAGTTTTGTAAATAAATTGTAATAAAATTGTTAATAAAATAACCCATACAAAAAGAAGGCAATTTTGTAACGCCGTCTAAGTACTTCGATGTTGACTAGTACCTCAAAAATAATGGAGAAAATGATAAATAAAAAACTATGTACATTCGTGAGTGAGCAAATTTAAAAAAAATTTTAAAATCAATTTGACACTTTCCACTGAAACAATCGGTAAGAATTTAGATGGTGGTCAAAAATGTATTAAATTATTTTTGAATTTGGCAATATAGCCTTTGATTCCATTTCTCAGACCATCCTACAAAAAATCGGAGCTTGGAATATGTGGAATTTAATCCACGAGTAGTTTTAATCATAGTTCAGTAATAAAAAAGAGAGAGTTGCCTTGATCAGTTATAAATAATATGGTGTGAGAAACCGTTTATTGGCTCCAAAATAACCAACTTACTTTCAATGTCATGAAAATCTATTACTTTTGTTTAAAATTTATTTATTACCAAACGATTTGCTGAAGTTTAATTTAACAAAGGTTCCGTTTAAGAAACGCTTCCACTAACTCTGTCCGCTTCGGAATGTTATGGATGAAAAACGATAAGAACGTAAAACATAAGAAAAGTTGATTGCTAACATTAAATTATAAAGAATGACGAAAATTTCAAAATTAAAAAGTCTCTCTTATCGGTCAATTGTCGTAGGTCGGACGGAAAGTTAAACCGACGGTCGCCACACTTGCGCGGGTCGTTTCCTGGGACCCTTGCTTTGCCCAGCCGTGGGTATTTATGTTTAGGCTGTACTTTAATATTATTTTCAGCATATTACCATTAAGGTTTCAAGGTGTACAGTGCCCAACCAATAATAAATTGCTATGCTTCTTTATTTCATTACGAGTACTAAACCAAAAATACGTGTGTGCTTATACGAAAGTTAATTTTCACTGTTTTCCACGAGATTTTCATTCTTGTTTTTGTTTGCAGTTTCTGGCATTAATAATTGTCTATAAGATGTAAGTAGGTATATGCGTTGTTATTTTGTTTATTCGTCTTGAGTACCTATCATAATACGTGAAGGACATGGCTTGGTACAAAGTAGATGTTACGCATCGATAAGTTTCGAGACTGACGCTAAAAGCGTAGGGCATTAAATTATGAAGGAGTATAGAAAATAATAATTACACCATAACGTACGGTACGAAATATATATTAACACGTTAAAAAATATATTTTAGGACCCATTTTCTGTTTAAAAGTACCAGAAATACGGCTTTGATGGTACCCACTACCTACTGAATAAGCCGGCATGACATCATCTCTGCGTCGCATCGACCGACCCGAGGCCGCGGAATGCGGTCTCTCACTCAGACTCAAGCTCAGTTTCCAAATAACACCAGCGCAGCTACACGCGTCTACTAGGGCATATTATTGAGAAGGTTATATTATTAGTTGTTTAAACATGGCTAACATCTTAGGTGAGTAAACATTTTTGTTATTGCAACGTTTGTTAATTGTGCTGTAATATCTAACTGCGCTTGGAACCTTTTAAAGCGTTGTTTTTTTCCGCAGTATGTTAAATACGATGCCGGGTGTAATTTAGTTTAGACTGACGATAAATGTAAATAAATCAGCCGGCATTTCCCTGGAGGAAGGCCAAAGAAAGGCGTGGCGAAGTATTAAGAAAAAAATCTTATATTAGTACTTACTTAAATATTTTATTACAAAAATGAATCTAAAACAATTCAAATGCAATAAATGCATACCCTTCTCTTCTTAAGCTCTTTTTACTTCGTACTTTCGCTTTAATATTAAGAGATATCACTATATGATTATCTATTAATTCATTTAGAACGCGTAGTGTATTCTTAGAGATGAGTTCATCTTTGCCCTAGCAGTGGTTACCATTGTAGAAAACCGATCTTGTGACAATAAGTAAATGCAAGGCCACTTATATTATAGGTTCGTTAACGACCGTTTATTTAATCCGGAGTTACTTATTGTTGAAGCATTTAGTGTCCTTCGTCCTTCGTTTCACCTTACGGTATGTCTGCATCAAAACGGTACTATGTAAGTTGATAGGCATGCAAATCGATCGACTTCGGTGCGCCCAGAAACCCGACAGAATACCAAGTTGTCATGGTCCCCAACTATGTATTAAAACTACCATAACTTTTTGCGTGACAAAGTCTGCAAATTGAATCTAAAGATTAGGATTGAAGTTCTAAAAAATTGAAAATGACTAATCGCTGAAAGCTATACAACAAATTGTGACTGTAAAAAGATTTTAATTTTGTTTTTCTTACGTGTTTTTTTGGGTAATTAAAACTTTGATCTGTTTTGATCACACTAAAAGCAATAGTATAATATACTAATATTACACATTTATCATACATGCTAAAATTCATGAGATTTTTGAAAAAAACTTCATGGGCAGATATTTTATACACATATCTGATATAAGTACACATTTAGAATTGGTGTCTAATGAAACACATCTTAATAATTGTAACGTTATTTTCGTGCTCTGAAGAAATTGTGCACAATGCATAGTTATTAGTAAGTATAAACACATTGTTACTACCTAGTCTTACTTTTCATTACTACAATTATAAATGAACATAGGTTAAGAACAGGTTTCTTTAAATCAATTTTATCAGCACCCGAAATATAAGTAAAATTTTCATAGGTAGATTCTATGTAATAAGAACAATTACTGAGCGTGTTACTAAATGAAACTATGTTTACGGATTTAGAGTGTTTACTTTGGGTTTTAATTCCCGACGTTTCGAACCCTTTACAGCGTTCAAGGTCGCAGACTGTCCGTCCCGTGACCATGAACGCTGTAAAGGGTTCGAATCGTCGGGAATTAAAACTAAAAATACAAGCGATAAATCCGTAAACATAGTTTCATTTAGCAATGTGTAATGTAAATACAAGAAATTATTACTGAGCGTGTGGTAGAAAATGAGGGTGACTCATCGATCATTGTTATTTCAATTATGAACTGTTTTAATACGTGCGTTGGTGAACAATTTTCACTTCCGCGCGGATTTTGTCATATCAAATAATCACGTAGGTACACATAACATTTTTCGTTTGAATAGTGTTATTTTAATTGATGTTTCGTTAGCTAAAAAAAGTAAGAAGGAAATTATGCCGAATATAGATGAAGTATAAAATTAGGGTAAAAAGACGATATAAATTGCCGTGTTGAACACTAAATAAATATAATTTTATTAATCACAATTTTATCATGAAAACATGTATCATCAAACATGTACCTTATGAATATTAATCAGGGTTATAATGTAAACTTGCTTGTAGATGTACGCATTATAAGCACAAACGAAAAAAAAGTCTTATAGGTTCCATATAGTTCCTTAAGCCGAGTTTTCCTGGTGTTTACAGATTTTTAATCTATATATGTAATTATATACATATAATAGATTTCCACTGATAATTGACTTATCACGATATCTCTGGAACCATAAGGCGTAGAGACTTGAAATTTGGTAGGAATATTCCTTTCGCCGAATAGAGGTCAGCTAAGAATTTAACGGATTTTACAAAATGTTACCTGTTGGGTCCGCTAGTTGCTTATATATCAAGTTCTTATTTGAACAATGCCTTGAATGTTCATTTGTTAAAACCGTAAGATAAACTTTAAAAAATAATTGATGACCTTTTTGAAGGTTTTGTAAACTCTATACATAGTGATCTCAATTACATACGTGAGGAAGTTGAAATAAGGAGAGAGTAAATTAATCCTCAATTGTCTACTGAATTCTTGACTTGGTTATATAACACTCTGTTACGGTATTGATTTCTGAGATTGCACAAGTTACGACGGTACAGTTCCTTCGTCCATACTACGTTGGCGCCCTGAGGTCGTTTAGAATTAATCAATGAAATGAATGACATCATCTTCAAAGAGGACTTCCACCAATGGATACTAGGGAAGGACCGTTTAATGTATATTTATAACTTAGTATTACTTCCATCACCTTAATTAAAACGTTGGCAGGTACGTGGGTATAAAATCGGTAAGCCTGGCTTCTAAATAATATTCAGAGTTAACAGTTCGAAATATGTTGAGCGCATTGCGATTCTGAACTTCGCCCACGCAAAGCGGAAAATCTATATATAGATTGAGAAACTAAGACCTGAGAGGAATAAAAAATGCGACTATTCGATGTAGGAAGCTTATAAATACGAGTATATGACATTATTATCTGTACGGCCTTATTGTATTTGTTTCATAATATAAATTGAATGTCAGACAATGCCTAAGGTAATATCTGGTCAGTCTGTAATAATCATTGTGAATATGTTTTAATAAATAAATGAATACGAATCAATCGGCACAACGTGTATCGTAGGATCAATTATTAGTTTTTAAAAACGCTATTGACAATTTAAGTTCCTAAGGAAACTAAACGAGAGCCATGTTTACTTTTATAGATGTATCGACTCCGGACAACCTCCAGTACCAATTCTTCCCCGTGTCAAGCGGTTCGGTCCAGTTCAAAGTGCGCACCGCAAATGACGCCCACGTTGCTCTTACCATGGGACCGCAGGACACGGAGCCGATGTATGAGGTAATAAATTTTCTTGAAACGTACGTGCCACAAGTACACATTTTTGAATTGAAACGAATAAAAGCCAATAGAATTCAGTGGCGGCAAGTCCTGAACTTAATGTGGGCAAGCTATATTTTGCTATTACACATTACTATGATGGAATATAAAATAAAAAAATCACTTAAAATTAAATAGATTTTTACTCATTTAGAAACAAACCTTAATAATTTATGTATAACTCTTTAGAATATAAAAAAAATGAACACACACACACAGGAATATTTCGTGCTCTATTATCTACGTTTATTATGATTAATACAAATATTTATTCTTACCGTCCATCTATTTCATTTTTCGTTCCATTTCCACGTTTCATTTCTTATGTGATATGTTATGTGATATGCGCATTCCAGCTTCCAACAGGCGCTGTCTAGTTTGGGAGCCACAGTATACTCCATCTCTTTTCTTACTGTAACTAACTTAATTAGACATATTGCTATTACTATATAAAATAAACAAATATCAAATAAAATGAATCATTTATAATTTTTTTAACGGTTAAATAAACTTTACCATTGTACATTTTTTTACAATTTTAAATTATAAAACATCGACTTTGCACGAAAAGTGGTACTCCGTTAGCATCAATCATTTCAATCGCATATTACTTTTCCGATGTGTAACCGAAGGATCCATTTTCCCGTCTTCTCAGATAATGATCGGCGGTTGGGGCAACACGAAGAGCGTGATCCGGAAGAACAAGACGAAGCCGGACAAGGTCGAGGTGGAGACCCCCGGGATCGTAAACGGCGGCGAGTTCCGCAGCTTCTGGGTGCGCTGGGACGGCGGCATCGTGTCCGCCGGCCGCGAGGGCGAGAGCATCCCGTTCATCTCCTGGGCCGACCCCGAGCCCTTCCCGATCGCCTTCGTCGGCGTGTGCACCGGCTGGGGCGCGACCGGCACCTGGAAAATCGAAGGTGCGCCGACGTTGCAGCGGACCCACCAAAATGTACCCAACGTCATTCATTAACTCACAGATTAATTATCGATGCAGAGGCGGCGGAATTCGAGACACCGGACAAGTTAGAGTATAAGTTCGGACCCGCGGCCGCCGGCTCGCTGGAATTCGAATACCGCGGTCCGCATAACTGCCACGTTTGTCTGGCCCCCGGTCCGGGCGAGGTGGGCCCAATGTACGAATTTATCCTTGGCGGTTGGGAGAACACGCAATCCGTGATCAGGCACTGCAGGCAGAAGCCGGACAAGGTAGCGTGGTGTTACGTTATGTGTCGAACATACGTGTCGCTAAAAGACCACGCCTGTATATCTGTGAATGTGACGATCCGTAGGTAACCATCCCGACGCCGGGGCTTATGAGTGCCAGCGAGTTTAGGAAATTCCTCATCGAATGGAGATGCGGCAGGTTGACCGTTCGCGACGGTACCAACGGGGCCGTGATGATGGAGTGGGTGGACCCACAGCCCTTCCCGGTTACACACTTCGGGGTGCGCACGGGGTACGGTGCCCAGGGCACGTGGCGCATCAGGCACTTCTTCAATGACGGGCACCGACGTTGAGTGTCTATAATTTTTTACGATTAGCGGACTTGGCTTCTGATGTTAATTGCTAGTTACGCATTCTGTATTATTTGAAGTTGGATGTTATTATTGAATAATTCACATATTAAACGTCTGTAGAGCTAAATGTGTGAATAAAAACTGTAAGTTCCTTTTGTGTATATTTAAAACATTCCTCTGCATATGCAAAACCGCATCTGGATGTCGAATGATAACGTGGTACGTTGGGTACATTTTGTGTAGGCTCATTTTCTTAACATATATTTAGTAAACAATACTCTTATTTCTGCTTTTTGCATGTGTTTTAAGCACTTTTTTTTTTAAATCTTCGACTCTGATATGGGTTAAAATAAGTTCACTCTTTTTACCCTTCCGCTTGTTGAACCTTATTTTGAATATTGTCAGTTATAACTTATTTAACTAATTACAGTCCTTAACAGACATGCATGATGAATCTAATACTAGCTTTTTTAAAGATATTTTTTTTTAACCGACTTCAAAAATCAGCAGGTACTCCATTCGGTTGTTGCTTCTGCTTTTTATGCTTGTTACAGAGCACCGTCACGTATGAACCGATTTGAAGAACAATTTTTCCACTGGGTCCGCTTTAACTCTAATTAAATTGATATTGGAATTTCTAATCCGGACAGTTATAGAGGTCCCCAAAATCGAATAGAAAACGTACCGTCCCTGAGATATTTGAAGTCGGTTTTCTTTTACTAGTGAAACGTTTTAGTCGCTCTCAACCTAAATCGGATCGTCGCGTTCAATCGTTTTAATATACGCTCGTTATCCAGTGGGCCCGTCCGCGCCGGCGGCTGCTGCTCTATACAGCCCGCCGCCCGGCTACCCGGGCGGTGCGCCGGCCGTGTCGGCGACGGGTGGTGCCGGCGTGTGGATGGACGCGAGCGGCGGCCAAGCGGTGCCCGGCGCGGTGGTAGGCGGCCAGGACTGCTCCGGCGAGCCGCTGTACGTGGCGCGGGCGCAGCACGAGGGCGCCATGCTCCCTGGAAAGCTGGTCACCTCCCACGGGTGCGCTTACGTCCCGTGGGGCGGACAGGAGCACGGCAAGTCCGAATATCAGGTTTGCTATGCGCGAGGCGCTCTTTCTTTTCGGTTGTATGTTTGTTTAAGTTCGTCACTTCTTCGTTAACTCAGTCTTTAAATTTATGAACCGATTTTAAAAATTCTTTCTGCATTGGGTTTGGTTTAGCAACCACGTGTACAATATTAATCATTGATATTCGACCTTTAAATCCGGAGACACACCAAGGAACTGCTCAAAATGAAACAGAAAATTTATATTGAAATCGGTTTTGTTTTTTGTTAATAAAAATGTACTTGTAGGTACTATGTAGCAAACATATGGAAGCTGGATTTGAATAGATTATAAAGATCCCCGTCATTGACGAGTCAGGATCTATAATCCTTATTTATCGTCAGGGTCTATAATGATATTTTTTCATTTAACATACCAGTGTTCTAGCTACTGCTATGTTTATTTACCGTCGCTTTAGTAACGTAAACACCGTGGTGTATTAAACTTGTTATTGTTTTGCTTTAAGGTTCTTATTGGAGGACCGAACAACTGGGTGCCAGTTAGTGGATCAAATTTACCTCCAGGAGCTTTCCCTGGCGGTGAGACGGAGGATGGAGAACCATTGTTCATTGGCCGCGTACGTCACGAAGGTAGCATAACCACTGGCAAGGTTCAGGCATCGCATGGCGTCTGCTACATCCCCTTCGGCGGCCAAGAACTCGGTTTCCCCGACTACGAAGTTCTGGTGGCCTAATAATATCATGACATAGATATATCCAAAAATCGGTCACAGTCCACTTAGGGTGTAAGCTTTATATTGCGCAGTAAAACTGCCTGGTAAATATTGGAATGCAATATTCACAGTGTGCCTGCTATTATTTTTATTTGATGCACTGCATAATATTGTACTATTGTTGAAATGGTAATTATGTGTTATTTAATAAATTATATTAAAAATTTATTTATTTTATTTTTCAATTATAAGACCTTCATGAAAGTACCGCGCTTGACTAAGTCATATTGAAGTAAAAGAATTCAGAAAGTTGTAATTAATGGTGCTAGCTCTTCTGGATCGATGATATCAATGGACGTTCCGCAAGGTTCGATTCTCGGCCCATTCCTTTTTCTCGTTAATATGATTGAATATTTATGATGAATGATTTACCCTATTTAGTAGGAAAAAAACATGACATAGTGTTGTTTGCCGATGATACTTCATTAATCTTTAAAATTAAGCGACGTATTGTAACACTTGACGAGGTAAATCATACTATGTCGGAAATAGTTCATTGGTTTAATGCTAATAATTTACTGTTAAATGGCAATAAATCTAAATGTATAAAATTTTCGACACCTAATGTGAAAACACTTGGGTGGTGCCAATGGGGATGAGTTAGGCCTTGTGAATACCACTGTTTTTCTAGGAATAACTTTTGATTCAAAGCTTCAATGGGGCCCCCGTATATCCAAACTTGCTAGCAAACTAAATTCTGCAGCATATGTAAGGAAAATAAGATGTCTAACTGATGTAAATACAGCTAGAATCGTTTATTTTAGTTATTTCCATATCATAATGTCATACGGTATTTTTCTATGGGAGCATGCAGCCGATGTTGAAACAATATTTATTTTGCAAAAAAGGGCCATAAGAGCTTAATTTGAAAGCATCTCTGAGAGAGAAATTTAAAGAAATAAATATTTTAACCTTAGCTTCTCAATATATTTATGAAAATGTAATGTATGTACATAGAAACATTAATAATTTTAATAAGAATACTGATGTACATAATGTAAACACTAGGAACAAACACAAGTTTGTAACGCCAGTTACTAGACTTCATGAGTCAGTAACTCGTTCATGGGACGGTGCATACGCTTCTACAACAAAATACCAGCTAATGTGCAAAGCCTATCATCTATTAACAGGTTTAAGAAATTTATTAAAGAAAAACTTTTTAAAAAGGGTTATTATAATATAAATGAATACATTAACGATAATAACCCCTGGGAATGAGAGGATCGCTCCTAAGCCGTTTCTAAAAAAAAATATGGAGGTTCTTTCCCCTGTTTCTTCTCCGTTAGAGGAACCTCATTACGAAAAAGTGGTAGATTTAAAAAATGGCTATCGATCAATGAAATGTATATTTCTTATTTCGATGAATAAATGATTTGATTTTAATTTGAAATAAAACATTTAAGGATAAAAGCGTCATACTAATACAAACCAACGCAAGGTTTTGTACCTACACAAACCTTGCGTTGGTTGGTAACCCACCATATATCGTTGGTGATGGGTAAACCACCATATATCGTTGACCATAGTTGATGTCTAAACTTGAATTAAACATATTCTGGAGATCGCGTGAAGCTTCAACAAAATTACTTCCATTGTCACTCCAAATATCTCAACAAATACCTCTTCGCCAAAAAATCTTTTGAACGTAGTCAAAAATGCTTGAGTCGTTAGATAAGTGACAAATAGAACCCTTTGAAGCATGATGACGTCGACCTTTAGCCATCCATATACTTATCGGTCTTGCATAAACCACTCTACTGCTTTTACTGACCCATATGTCGATTCGAAATGTTATTCTTAGTACCTGGATGACCGAGCTTTGTCAAGCTTGTTTGTCTTAAAAGAAGGAACTTGAAAAAAATCTGCACTCGAACCGGGGCCTTCTGGTTTCGGGACCACCCGATTTCCCAACTGAGCTGTTATAACCTTGTAGATTGTGGCGAAATTTACCTTCGTATTGGCTTTTCCAAAAAGAAGGATAGTGAGTTGTACGCAGTTTAACTTGGAATTGACGCGTAGGTACCGTGTGCGGGCCCTAAGTCTCCGAAAACGCCTATTCTCTCGAATCCGGCTGTGTAACCTACTGGGGAACGCGTCCTTCTTGTTAGAAGTGTACACATAGAAAATACATCGATATTTTTTTTCCATGCGATGATTCGATGCATCGGAAAATATCGATGCATAGTCTCTATCTATGCATCGATATTTTCCGATGCATCGAATAAAAAAATCGATGTTCACACTAAGCTGTAGTCAGCTCCCTGGCACTCCATCATATAAACAAACGACATCTTTTAACCATCTATTTTTCCTACAAAGAATCTATGTAATTGAGACAAAAAAGACAAAGCAAATCGCTTTTGTTCATTAACTTATTCGAAAACACGACTGCCTTGTCAAAAATGAGTTAAAAATAAACAATACACAAAGAAGTTGTAACATTTTCACATATTTTTTTTCATTCATCGCAGGGGCGGCCTGATTCTGTGGAATACTTTCTCATTTAGAGGTCGACGGCGATGATTAGTTCGTTCTTACAATAGCAGTAGTATTTTCTATTATTGTTTCATTTTTTTTTTATTTTATACCTTTTATTGAATGTTTTCTTGTCGGAAATGATGAAAAGATTCTAACTATACTTTATTAATGAAGACACATACATACATACGTATTTATGTGAATTCTGAAAATATAAAACTGCTTTTTGTGTGCAGACTTATTAAAAAAACGGCTAAGCGCGAGTTGGACTCACGCACGGAGGGTTCCGTATCATTATCTATAAAAACAGCAAAAAAAAAAATCATATCTGTTGTATGGGAGCCACCGCAGCCAGGAGGGCAGCGTTTCACTTGTGCTTCGCCAACGCCGTAGTAAACCCTCTCCTACCCTGTACCGCCACTGGAAGAACAGGAATTTCAGGAATATGAAACTGCCTTCTTTGATGTCAGTTCGTTTGCCTTTGCTGTCGTATGGCACTTCAAATGCAATGTTGCCAAGATAATAAGATACCGAATCGCTGATTTTGACTCCGTTTATCAACTATCAAATATTTTGAACTAAAGAACATAAAAATTAGCTGGTGGCCTACATGAAGAGTTTTCAAATAAGCGTCACACAATTAAATCCGTTAATGGAAACTTCTTGGTATTAATATGCGAGTGATCACATCTTCCGCCCACGCGTATTAAGCTGTTACCAGCAATAAGACAACCCCCATAAGTATGGGGTCGTCTTAGTCACTCTTGATTCAGGAAACAATTAACAATGGCGCCATTTTTTATGCCGCATAACTAACGATTGATTGTCTGTGTGGAGAAATCCCAAGACGTTAATAAAATAATACTTCTAATAATGATTTGACAGTTTCTGTCATAGTGGTAAAACAAAAAGGAAATGTTTTGAAATAAATCTGTTTATCTAAACAAAACATTAATATAATCACAGAGTAAAAAATAATTTCCGCTGTCACGACAATTAGTCTTTCTTATTATTAGTGGGTCATTGAACCTAGCAAATAACTGAAATGGGGGATATAATAGGTATAAATTTACCCATTTATTTGTAAATGTTCATAATTATAATTTTGGCATCCTTTTTAATATTTTTTGCATTTATATACATTATTGTCTATAAGATTGGATTCACGTTTGTATTCAAACGAAAATTTATTATTAATTTAAGAAGAATTTTTTGTGTAAAATATTTTCATATTATTACAAATGTTTTGGTTACCAAGCCACTTAGAACCTGAAGTTTTATCTTATGTTTTTCAGAAGTATCAACCTGGCCCAACCACGAGAATGTGTTTTATGAAATAACTAGTAGTGCTTTGACATTCTATGTTAAAACATCTCGGAAAGCTCTTATAGGTTTATCACGAAAACCAAGTCGAGTTTGTGATTATTGGGTATGTATTTACTTTGGTTTGTATGTATGATCAAAAGTAAACTATTCAATTGCAAATTTCTGATAGTATTGATAGGAATTTTAAACACTGGATCAGAAGGTAAATAAGTAACCACTTCACTCACCAGACCAAACGTGAAAGTATTATACTTCCACTTACGCCGGTCTTCTGTGAGCTACAGATAAAGAAATTAATAAATTGCTATTAAAATATTTAAAAGATTGTTTTAAATAAATAAGCTTAAGTAGTCTTAAAGGGGTAAATGATTATCATCATCCATGGACATAAAATCCATCCAGCAATTTGCAGGTGCATTTTCAACGTACAAGGAACTTCATTCCAATTGCTCAGTTACAGAACTAAACACTGGTCTTTACTCGGCACTTTATACAGGGAGGCTTTTCTAAGTGTATCCAATTTTTTTATTCAATTCTAGACATAAAAAATGTTATATAAAAATGATAAATATTTAAAATCACTCGTAATTAATTAATTACATTCATTTCAACTTATCTCAAAAAGTGTGTGATTTATGGGCAACTCATATATTTTTACTCGTGATCATTCATGACTAATAAGCACACAAGTTCGTTTCAAAAGTATACGACGCATTTATGAATGACTACCGCATTGTCAACAAGTTCTGTTTTAAGGAATAGAATGGCAATTTTTTTGAAAAAAAACAAGTTTGTTTTTATCTCAATAAACGGTTATACTACCGAGTCTGAACCTCCTGTGTGAATTTGGGCACCTTTAGAAAAGCCACTCTGTATTGATCTATGTGAATTTATAGCTTGGTTGGTTACCTCAGTGACTCAGCTGTTGAACGAGATCCACAAGTTTTTTGATAACTATAATATGATGATTATTTATTTTTCAGATTGTTATAACCAATTACCCATACAGTTATATTAAAAAAGGATCTGACCCTCGGATTAAAGTTCGCACCCCTGATATTCTTAATCCAGATACATATCAAAAATTTTGGATTGCATGGAATGGTGGTTTTATAAGGTTAGGCCGCATGGATGAAAAAGATCCATTAATCATATGCTGTAATAAAGTGCCTGGACTAAGATATGTCACATTTGATGTCTGGTCCAGAAGAGAAACGAGTCCTGTGCATTGGAAATTTGAATGTTAGTTTAAATTTTAACTATGGTATGGGCATCTTTTTTTTTCCCAATAACTTATTGCCAAACATTATTACAATCCAAACATTAAAATTTTTCAGTGCCTCCACAGCTGCATAAGCCACAGTTAATGCCTTTACTTGGAGGTGAACCTCATTGGGTCAGAGCTGGTGACCAATTACCAGATGGGTCATTTATAGGTGGGCATGAAAATGAAGTATTGTATGTAATAAGGGCCATGCATATGGGCTCCCTCGCTCCTGGCAAGTTCGTGCCGTCTTTGGGACTGGCCTATGTGGCATGGGGTGGGACCGCAAATGAAAAGAGTGATTTTGAGGTAATATACTGATCTACTACTTCTATTGATCTCTAGATCTCTACTTATATGCCAACTTTTATATATCTTTAGTGCACTAGATATACTTTACTGTTTGCTCCTTTTTGCAATAAATTGTGAAGTCTTAATAACTCTCTGTCAGTGTTTGGATTGGTTAGGTATTTTAATTCGGATGGCACTGACGCCTAAATCGATACATATAGACCATACCCACGTTCTGTGCACGGCATCTACGTTTTATTAGACATACCATGAGAATGTTCTTTTATGTTCTTGTTGTCTTTTGATCAATGAAACTTTAACTAGCCTGCAAAAGCTTATTTAGAAGAACAAGAGAGTCCTATAAAATTTAAACTATTCACATTAACTCTCAAACCCAGGGTGCACCCCAACTGGTATATTTTGACGGTAATTATATAGAAGGTTCAGGTTCCAGCTTATAACATTTCAAACTTGATGACTCCGTGGCGCAGTTGACAAGGTTATGTTCATAGGCTACAGTGTCGGGGGCCGTGGGTTCGATTCCCACACGTGACAACTATTTGTGCGACCCACAGATAGTTGTTTCGCATCTGGGTATTTGTCCATGTGAAATTTATGTTTGTAAAACGTCCTTACAACACCAGGAACAATGGTATCCCATAGAGAGGGCAATGTTTTTTTAATTTAAAAAAAAACACCATAATTCAGCCAGTGTGGTTTTAACATTAAAAAAAACTTGTTATCATCAATCCTATTTGTACTTATGTATAAAGTTATAAGTACATAACTCACTGGTCCACTGAAATTATTCTATTGAGAACCCAGTGCGAATTAGCTGACTTCACTGAACGCCAAAGTTTATTTATTTATTATCTCTTAGATATGTTACTGGCCAAACCCGATTTCAGGACAAACTAGTTTTGCCTAGGCTAAACTAGTTCTTCCTATACGCGATAGGAGTAACTAGTAAGACATAAGAGCGCCACCTCTACTATTAGATAATAAAGTGAGAATGTATTGCGCATTCCCCTTCTCCAGGTGATATCTCATTGTCCGGGCGCTCACGTTTATTCAATATACTTCAGCAGCCCGAATTTAATTCCCGGCACCAATTAAATTACCTTTAAGTGCGTACTTATCACATGTTCAACGGTGAAGGAGAACATCTTGAGGACACATGCATATTTTCGAAGTAATAAAAAAAAATGTTCCGAAGATAATGTGTGAAGTTCGCCAAACCGCAGTGGGGTCGCCTCGTACCCTCTGTACTGAGGAGGGCTTTGCCCAGCAGTGGGGCAGTACAGGCTGTTACTTATTTCTTACTCCTCCAGGTGTTGTGCGGTTACAATTGCACTTGGGTGCCGTGCCACGACGACAAGATACCGTCGAACGCGGTGGTGGGCGGGTACGCGGAGGGCGAGGGCCGCGAGAAACTGTTCGTAGGGCGGGTGGCACACGAGGGCCACCTGATACCGGGCAAGGTGCAGTCCTCGCACAAGGTGTGCTACGTGCCTTACAACGGGAGGGAGCTGCCGAAGACCCACTACGAGGTCCTGGTATCGCCCCACGGCTCCGGGCGCGTGGTCAACAAGTTCTTCATGTACGGAATAGAGTGCGACACCGGCTCGGAATCGGAGAACGAGTACTTCGAGCCCGAAGTGCTGTAAGGCGTCGACTGAATGTTTCGACGCCTGTACATTACTTTTATACGTACTACATTCAGTATTCTTACGTTTGTCTAGTCTTTTGTACAGTAGGGTAGAAACTGGTAATGGGGGTCACTTAAGCGAAAATTGAAATAGTAAAAAAACTTGAAGCAGAATCCTTATTGCAACCACCTCATAACAAAATCTATTTAATTGGCTATCATTTGAGATCACATTAATGATTAACTTTTGCAAATATAAGAGTAAAAAAAAACAGTTTTGACTCCCATTGCACCGACTTAATTGTGGTCACCTTGAGGGCAATGAGGATCAAACAAAAATCGCAAACATGTCTCTCAGCGGACCGACCGTAGCAATCCGACCCAGAGCAATCTGAAATCGCTACACTGCAAAACAAAAATGACCTCTCGTTCATACATACCGGCGCGGCCTGGCCCGCAATGATTGCGAGGGGCACAGAGCGGGGTGGGGAGGGCCATTTACGCGTCTCTAGTGGTTGAAGTTTTTTATATATGTGAGTGACCACCATTAGGCACTGACTCTTATTGCCTCATCTTCCCTATGGATACCGGTCACCACGAATCGTAGTTCTAAATCCAAAATCATGTGGTCAGTTGGTTGGCAAGCTTGTGTTTTAAAACCAATGTATATGGTATGCCAAACGTTATATGGTAGGTGTAGTGTAGTGTATTGGCTGGAGTGTTGGTTGTCTCATGCGCCTGCGTCACAAGTCAGTCGCGTTGAGTGGTGCTTGTAGCTGGTAAGCCAAGTAAAATACGCCAAGAAGCAAGACTCACAGTTAACGTAATTATTACTTGTATTGGATGTAAACGATATTGTTATGCATAAGTTAGTGTTAAATACGAACGAAAGTGCTGGCATAGGTTTCGAATTATGAATATATTATGCGCCCTTGCTATGGTCGCTTATTGAATGATATGTAATTTAGTTATTAAAAATAGTTATGATAATATAAATGATGTTCTTACTTTCATCGTTTATTATTTCTTTTCTTTTTCTTTTATGCGAAAAGTTGTCAAACGAGCAGACGGTTCACCTGATGTTAAGTGAATACCGCCGCCCATGGACATCTGCCACACCCGAGCGTCACAGAGGCGTTGACAACCTTTTGAAAATTGGGCTCATTATCTGGTATAAAAATAAATAAAAGATCATTTGGTAATAAATTTACTTAAATATCAATAATCGGTGTATACCTAAACTAAATCTTGTTTATCAATATATCATATTACTTAAATATGAACAAAAGAACGTTATTAAAATAACATTTTCATTATACTTAACACTCATTACAATAACACTTGGGAAAATTAACAGTGCGTGTCGCTTCACCTGGTGATATCAATATTTCGTAGGAGTATCTCTCCACTTCTCTGCCGTCCGATGGAATAAAACAAGCATTGTATAGCAAATGAACTTTCCCACAAATAAGTTTTCCGTCGACTATAGCTCTTCCAATATATAGTGGATTATTATGAACCTCAGATGTTCCGGCTACAAATGCATTCTCAGGTATGTTTTTACCTTTACAACTTACCCATTGGGCATCATAACCACATAATATCTAAAAGAAATATACAAAACTGTTCAGTTATCCCATGCCACACTTATTAAAAAAGCTATTATAATATGAATGATTGGAAATTAATTGATCGCTCCAGGCTGTTTCAAGTGGACTACAATATTAGTGTACCTACATAATTATTGTCAAATAATGGTATAAAAATAATAAAATAAAAAAATGAGTGCGTAAATGCCTTTTGGTACACGTGTTTGAAGTAAAACAATAAAGCGATCTATAGAAAAAATCAAGCGGAGAAGTAAATTTGAGGAAAAATATCAAAATATTCACCTCAAAATTGTCCTTACAGTGTTCTGAATGGCCCCATGCCACGTAAGCGTGACGTTTTGATGGTACATATTTTCCCGGGCAAAGAGAACCCCTATGACGTGCTCGAGATATATAAATTGGTTCATTTTCGAAACCCCCTATCATTGCATCTAAAGGCAAGACATTTCCAGTCATAGTTGTCCATTTTAGTTCACCACCATCTACTTTTATTGCTTTCATTGGACTCGAAGTAATTGGCGAACCTTAAAATTTATATTTATTATATTATTTAAAATAATTGGGGTGTGGTTTATAGTCAGTTAACAATGAACGAGGATGTTTTGAATTTAAAATTTTAACACAATCGTCATTACATTTTGTTAAGAGAAGGCGGTAATGACGAGCTTGTTTAACTGATGGTAGGTAATTACTGTCACGGGTCAACTAATGTTATTTTTTTCCTTAGATGATAGGATATACCTAATTGTTATATAATCAAAGGTTTTTTCTTTTAAAATGTTTCCCTTTATAACATAATGGATAGCATCATCCGGTATTGGAAGTACGGTTTACAAACAAATATCACGGGAGAAATACCCAGATCAAAAACAACAATCCAAAGATAATCTTCGGGTCGTACAAATAGTTATCCTGTGTGGAAATAGACACCGAAGCCGATACCTTAGCAACTGCGCCATTGAGTCATGGAACCACCTGGGGACATCCACAACAGAAATGGAGTTTTAGTTGCAGTGCCTAGACATCAAGCGATGTGTGTTTATCCTAGTGTCGTGTTTAGTTATATTATTCATATGTGAAAATCAATGTACATGATTCAAGCTTTTTGGCGTACAATATGTGCTCTTTAACCATATTACTTTCACCATTACATATTACTTAACATATTAACTTAACACTTTTTTGTTGATAATGTTGATCTTTAAATGAATTTGCATTTAGCAGATTTATTTATTGCATAAATCAAGGTAACTGAAAATTCTTATGTATATTTTTTTATGTGAGAAAGTAGCAACCGAGCAGGCGGTTCACCTGTTGTAAAGTGTTAACCCAAACCCATTGACAATTGCAACATCCATAGGGGACAGATGCGTTGCCCTTTAATAAAGTGGGCCCCTCTACCTCCCTCACCAGACGAAACGCAGAAGTGTTACACTCTGCTACTTCACGCTGGTCTTCTTTGAGGTCATGGTACTAACCCGGATAGTGAGGTCACTTATCCAACGAAATGCGGAGGTATAACACTCCCATTCCATTCCACTTCATGCCGGTCTTCTATGGGGTTGTGGTAATTACCTGGACGGACCCGCCCATTTGTGTAACAACAAAGGCTGTTGCGAGACCCTACCACAATTAAAAATAATCATCATTATCAAAAGTAATTGAATTGTAGGCTTGTCTTAGATTTCAAAAGATCTTGAAATCTGAGTAATCATTGACGCATGCATATATCAGTGAAGATCAACAAGCTTACTTTTTAAATTGGGTAGACCCAGTATGGGTCTAATCAACTCATATTCTTAATATAAATAAGCATAAAAAGTAACATAAATTACTTTCAAATATCCAATCACTTGTAATATTATTATCACACAGTGTAAAGAATTTAATAAAACCAATGGTAGGTCTGTCTATACTGCTATCAAAATATTCTAGTATAGGTTCACTATCAACTTGACCAACACGATAGATTCCATTGTACCATGTCACCAAAAACTCCGTATAGTCAAGCCAATTTATATGATCAATATTTTGAATTACTTTTTGTTCACCTGAACAAATCATTTCACATGTTGACCCCAAAATGATCTGTAAAAGACATTTACTTATGAACAGAAAAAATGGCTGGTAATACCATGATATTTGCATATTGTGGTTAGAAAGCAATTGTTTATCCTTATTTGTATTGGACTTGTATTCAACAAAATAATGACCGATTTAGGAAACAAAGAACATTGCGGATGTTATTCTTTAAAATATCTTTAAATGTAAGAAAGATATCTTACTTACATTTATAAAATAAACATTAAGAAAGCTTTCAAGGCTTGAAAAATAAGGAAATTTTTGTAATCTCTTTAACTGGTTTATCAAAAATATGTATTTTTGATTTGAAAAACTGTTTTTTTTATATGAGAATATGATAATAATAATTTAGTGGAATATTATATTATTATAATATATTAGTAACAACATAAAAATAAAAAACTACCTTGCATATTTCTTTATGTGGACACTGCTTAGAAACAAGAGTCAATGTTGAATCTCCATTACTCTTAACTTTAAACCTTATTGCACAATTATCCACTTTGCATAATTTATATGGTACCTCTAAATACTCTGAAAGCGATAACGTCTAAAAATGGTTATTAAATTCTTAATGGGACATTAGTGTATAGCAGTCTCATATTTAGTTTATTGTGTTTTAATTACCCAGGCCATCCATTGTGAATTAAAAAAATATTTTAATTTTAATCATTAATATATGTTCTTCTTCTTCTAAGGTAGTTGGCGGTCCTTATGATATCGCCAACATTACTAATTAATATATGTATTTCATAGCGTGTGTTTAAAACGTGAAAATTAAAAAAAGAAAAAGATCAAATCATGAAAGTCAAAACAAAAACTTATACAGTTATCAGTAGAAGTGGGCGATACAAATCGTATCAGATATGAAAACTAGATATTAGTACAATATCCGAATATCGCTTACTGGCTCGTTCAATATCTATGTATTTTACAATATCTGATATTTCCACAGACTTATAAAGAGAAGCAGACCTAACTTAGGACTAAAAAAGCGTGCCAAATACACCCACATGCTTATTTCACGCACACTGATAAAATTCAAAGGGCCGGATTCGGGGACTTTAATGGATAAATTATTGATATTTTATTTCTTTAACACTGCAAAATTCTAAATTATTTCTTTTTTTTTTCTAAAGTAATTACAATGTACAATTATCACTTCACTTTTTTATATAGTATTGTTACTTCTGATTACCAACTTACTATCGTAATTTGATTTATAAATAGTCATCAAATCGCGCCGAATATTTGTCATGCGGACACAGAATTACGATAAAACTACTCGCTATACCCTTGGTACTTATATTAAGACACAACCTCTATACTGATTGTATCTAAATAGAGACTACAAATTTGGTTGTGTTTATCGAAAATACTAGTTATCAAATTGCACGTAATTAATATTTACCAACCTACAAATGTAATTGGATGGAGTTGAATAAAAAACAGAAGTATTCAAGAATCATTTATTTTTAAACAAAATAATTTTTTTCAGATAATTCCGGTCAGAAAGATTGCTTTGTTTAGCATCATGCTTCATCCTTAAATCAATGTAATTCTTAACAATTACACTTACTAATAAATACAAGTGATTAAAATCATGTTCGTCATTCGTTTTTAAATCTGAATAGTAATTTGAGGAATCAGCTATATATGTAATCAGACTTGTGTGATTTATATTTCCCTTGAACATTTTTAAGAATTTTTCACACAATTGAACTATTTTTATAAGACCATTAGACGGATACGTTAAACCTCCCCTATCTTTTTTATTAATTAACGATGATGTAAAGAAATTTTCTTTTTCTCCTACCATTAACATTTGACATTTATAACAATTTATAACTTTAATTACTTTTCTAGCTATAAAACCAGATATGTAAATAGTCACATGGTGAGCATACACATCCAAGGGGTTTGAAACAATATTTTCAAGAAAAACAATTGATGTGTTCTTCGTTTATATTGTGAAGTTGCATTAAATTTTTTTCGAAACTAGGTGTGGTATCGTTAACAATATCTACAACTTTTTTGCTAGAACTTGTTTTTAAAATTATATTTGGAATGGTGAAGCCATCTCCTTCCATTTTAAATTTTATTCGTATAATGTTTTTTTTATAAGCAGTTCTAAATTGAACAACGTTAGGGTTATCATTAAATCCACCCCTAGCCCTCATTTTTCCAAAGAACATTTCTAAGAAATCCTGACTTATTTTATAAACTGGCAGAAATTTTAATTTTCCTTTGCACACTAAGTCCTCGTACAAATTAAGAGCACTACGTAAGCTCACAATAAAACCCACAAACCCCGTTTTGCGAGCCGAATTAACAATTAAATTTCTGTTCGGTAATTTTAAATTCATGATGTATTCCTGCCAAGTAGCAATTAGCCCTTTTGCCATTTCAATATTACCACTACACAAAGCTTTTTTGTGTCCCGGCGCAAGTGTGGACCGACTATTTAAAATATCGAAAGAGTCGTTTATGATATAAATAAATTTTATCGTTGCTTTAGCCCCTTTAAATTCGTCAAAATTATCTTCACAAAAAGAAAGTGCGTCGGCAACTGATCTACTGAATAACTGCACCGCCAAACGCACTTTCATTTTTTGTTTTGCGAACAGAATATGAGCTTGTTTTAATTTATTGGCTAAATGCAATCCTTTTTCGGTTTGAAGTTCCATCAATTGACTGAGATATTTAAAATTTATCACGTCACCGTCTTGATCGATTAAACTACCAAATTCGCCTAAGGTGTTTCGTATGAGTTTTATCATATGGCAAGGGTCATAAAAAACATGTATTCTTCTACCCTTAAACATAAAGAATGGATAGAAATGTTTTAAATTGAAATCACATCCTAAATGAGTCGCCATAGCGATATTGGACGCAGCACCATCAAACGTTAAGCCACATACAAGATGGCGATTGCTTCATTACAATTTTATCTATGTTTGTGTTCATGTTTCCACAGCAGGAAGAAAGAGATAACATTATTGGACTTTTAATCAGAGTAAAAGGTGTGAAGATATTAAATTATTCCTAACCATGTGTTTGTGAGTTAGTGTTAAGTCTGCTTCTCTTTATAAGTCTGTGGATATTTCCGAAATCTGATGTACCGTGCTCGCTCGCTATACCGACACGAATCGCGATATCATACGCGTTTACCACAATATCTGATTTTTAAACAGATTTCGAGAGACAAAGCGCGTGAGATACAAATACTCACTAGTTAGAGCGGGACGGCAAGCAATGCACGATATCAGATATCGAGCGACAAAGCGCGTGAGATATAAATACTCACTAGTTAGAGCGGGACGGCAAGCAATGCACGATATCAGATTTTTAAACAGATTTTGAGCGACAAAGCGCGTGAGACACAAATATTACACTAGTTAGAGCAGTACGGCAAGCAAGGCACAATATCAGATTTTTAAACAGATATTATGAATAAGTTATGTAATTTTGAATCTTAACACGATGCAAATAAGATCCGTTTTAATTAAATACTAATCATGGTATCAAAGATTACTACAACGATATTATTATATTTCTATTGCTTTGTTTAGCCTTGAGCCGTAACGGGCGACAAAGCGCGCAGTTAAGTAATTTTGAATCTTAACAGCATGGAAAAAAATCTCTGTTGCATTTAAATACGAATTACGGTATTAACGATGTCTTTAAATTTTGTTTAGTCTTGAGCTGGATTGCATTGGTACTAAGCACGTAATAGTAAGGGATGCCAACTTACTACTTAAGTATTTTCTGCCTAAATTAAGGAAGAAAAATATAAATGGAAATTTTTTAGGAGGTAAATTTTTTGTGAATATTTTTATTACTTAAATTTTATTCATATTTTTGGAAAAAAATAAAAGTACACAAAAAGAAAAATATAATTTAATAGTGTAGTGCTGCTTGGGTGGAAATCAGACCAAGGCTTATGTGCTTTGTGTGTATATTTTAAATTCTTCCGCCCTAAGTTATAATACTGAATGTATTATTTCTTACACAAATTATTAAGATATTGTCACTCATGATTGCGTGTTTTAAAAATATGTTAAAGTCAATTATTAAGCGATATATAAGATGTTAAAATAAATCATTTTTATATTACTTCAATTTCTATTTTTAATGAAATTTTTAATTTTATCAGGTAATGTTTTAATTTAACCTTAATAGTATAAAAAAATCGTGATTTTAAATTCAGTAAGTTTTTTTGAATTTAGTCAATTTTAGTGGGTTTTCGAATTTATTTAGAAGTATTCTTTTTGAATAGTTGGTATCACTGGTAATAGCTTTAGTTATGTATAGGTACAATGATCGTCGAACAAGACTTTCGACGATTAAAGTCAAACAGCTTACGTTCGTAAACGTGAATTTAAACCCGGAGGAATCTAAATAATTATTAACCCACACATCATTGTAAATAAGTTAAGTTTTAAATATCAGGAAAATTATGTACATAGAATGAATCAACTTTTAAATACTCTTTTTTTTTTTTTTAGAATTCAAGGTGGATACGGGACCGTAAAATATCTAGATATTAAAATACATAGTTTCGAAATCTGATATTTGAAATCGATATCTGATTCAGATACGGTACTCAGAAAAAGCGATACGACCCATCTCTAGTTATCAGTTATACACTGAGATGCAGGGTAGGATTTTATACTATAATTATAATATTTGTGCTATAATATCATGTTTCGTATTATCTTTCCATATCTAAGTGTAGTACGGAAAAATACTATAATTTCGTTAAGTTACATAGATGACCAATATAAACGCCAAGCAAACATTAATAAAGGTTTATTGGGTTGTAATCACGTACGACTTACAAACTTCGAAATTGATATTACCACGTGTATGTATATAATGTAGGTATAATTAACTTTTTCCTTATTTAGGAACAACTTTGTAATATAAACTATTTACGGGGACTTCCCGTAAATTTTTTTTTCTTTCGATACTGAACTTGTTGAAGAGTAACTTTGCATATTGCACTATGAGCTACGTAATAAAGTTCATAGATGTCTTACATTACGACTAATTTATTATTTCCTAATTTAAGATAAAAAATAAACATAATACATAGACGCCATTTCATTATGTTGTGATGTTATCAAAGATGGTAACAAAAGTGGAAATTGTAGTGATTTTATTCCTACTGAGGATTTGTTAATAAGATAAAACTCTAAGGATGAAACTAATATTGAAGAATTGATAAACTTAGAAGAGGAGTAAACTAATGCCTGTTGTAATCAAAATTATGAAGTGTACTATAATATTTTTTTTAAATCTATTCTTTTAAATTTTTTGTACTATTTTTTTCATCATACCTAAATCCAACCCTACAGAGATGAGAAATAATAACTACACAGATTAAAATAGTACTGAATAGTATGTACTATGTTCATAATATGGGTATATTCCGAATTCCGATATGCACTGCGACCATTGTACAATGTGACATCAATTTATTATACTGTGACTGTGAACATGCTATGGCAACATAGTAATATCTAGTCAAGAAAATTTCGGAACATCGCCATCTGGAAGACAAATGAAATACTAAAATACATAGTGCTGCCACTATAAAATATAGTAATAAATCCTATGGAGATTTTACACATTAAA